GGGTCAACATGGGCACCCTGACCCGTCTGCAGCTACGCAGCCCCATACAAAACAAACTATGATGCATTGTGTGTTCAGACACCTTTTATTGGAACCAGTGTCAACTTTTTCAGCAATTTGAGCTACTGTAGCTCTTCCATTGGATCAGACTACATGGGCCAGCCTACGCTCCCCACGTGCATTAAAAAGCCTTGGCTGTCCACGGCCCTGTCGCCGGTTCACCGTTTTTCCTTTCTTGGACCACTTTTGGTAGGTCCTGACCCCTGCAGACCGGGAACATCCCACAAAAGCTGCAGTGGCCCTTGTCAAAGTTGCTCCAATCCATACGCTTGCCCTTTTTTTCTGCTTCCAACACATCAACTTCAGGGACAAAATGTTCACTCGCTGCCTAATATATCCCACCCACTTCCAGGTACCATGGTAACCAGATAATCAATGTTATTCACTTCACCTCTCAGTGGTCATGTTATGGCTGATCGGGGTATATATTTTGTAATTAAGACTAGACAGATATAATAATTTATGGGTAAATATTAGGATTGCTGCACAATCCCAGTCATGGCTGGTTACAAAAAAAAGTATAACAAAAGATTTAAATCCAGAACAGTAGACGGAGAGCCTTTGTGCGGGGTTTTTTTTTGGAGGTTCACTGGTAGAGTTCCCCTCTCTGCAGGTACGATGTGACAGGTGATGATACACCCAGCAAATGGAACGCAGCTTAAAATTGATATTTTATGGGCCGAGTTGTAGTGGGGAAGATTAATGGTTTTACTTATCCAGCATCCCGCAGCTATAATCAGAGAGGAACACTCACAATTACATCATCACCTTAATGTGTAAACCTGGCTTAACTGGGACATCAAGGCCATATATATAGAGGCAGAGAGCTCAGTGCTGTACTGTATGGATCGCTGCTCTCCGCTCTGAAACAAAACACACGCAGGTAAGTGACCAACGGCTTCTACATACCTAAGGCTACCACAAAAAGAGTGCAATACTAGACTGATTTTTCTTGTTGTTGCTAGCACTAATGAATTGCTTTCAAATTTATAAAATAGTAAAAATCAATAGTATTATTTTTATTTTTAGAAAGAGCATTATTCTTTCATTTTATTTTGCTCATTTATTAATTTATTTGCAATGCATTTATGGAATGT